AGCTATGTAATTGTTGAAAAATTACTGAAACTAATAAAATAATGTATATTAGCTATATTTTAATAAAATTTTTTTAAATAATGAAGCTATATTCGAAAGATTTTTATACATCAAATATATTCAAGAAGATATAGGTCCACTGATGCATATATTATATATGTCTACTTTATAAAATATATGTGCATTGATATAGCCAATAGAATATATTCATAAGGAGATTATAATGACTAAATATGCTTATATTCATGTTCATAGAATATATTAATAGAAATAAAATAACAAATTTCTGGTTAATCAATAAATTTGGTTGGTTGTATATTAGCCTCCTTTTGAAATTATTCTTCAATAGTTAAGCTATGAAATGCATACACGATAGATCAGAATAGCATCCCCTAAGTGGGACTCTAGATCACCAGCCACAGCTAGTGCTCCATATCTTACTTTTACATCTTGTTTATGTCTCTCTCCAACTAGAACTCAAGTTCCATAAGGACATGGACTTTTATCCATTTATTTTATTCACCACTCTATCATCTGAGCCTAAAAGAGTAATTGCCACATAGTATGAACTCAAAATATGTGTTGATGAATTAATGAATAAATATATAAATAAAATGAGACAGTTTTTGTAAAGCAAATGGCTGCTAAACTTTTTTGGGAACAACGTTATATAAAATATATTGCTAAATTCTGTATTGTTCACGATTTATCCATATGAGTGAAAAGTCTAAACTTCCATCATTGCTAAGCTATAACAAGGTGCTCCAATTCCCCTGCGGGAGTGACACCAGGGAAGGGCACTTAGGGAGCCAGGAATCTGCCTCTATACTGGGTAGCAGAAAACCACACACTGCTGTGACAGTGGAGCCCACTTGGGAAGCCTGGACTTCTACCCCCATCTGGTGGTAATAAGGCATCCTTTCCCTTCACACTGAATGTCAGAGGAGACCTAGTAGAGAGATAGTAGTAACAAGTCCACATCTACATGGCATCAGTGGAGGCCACACAGAGGAACTGACAAGGTGCCCCTGCCTCTCCCAGCCAGAGGGTTATCAGCAGAGGCCTAGTGGACAGCCAGAATTCCTGCCCCTGGCCAGCAGTAACAAGAGTATCAATGGAGACTGAGAAGGAAATCTGAATTTCCATCACCACCCAGAAATAACTATAATCCAGAATCTTAAAAATAATACCCACCATGTCCAGATTTCAAAGAAAATCACTCATCAGACCTAGAACGAGGTTCAATAGCAGAATGTAGGGGAAGAAAAAAGAATCAGTGAATGAAAGCTAGAATACTGGAAATTACTCAATCTGAACAGAGAGAAAAACACTGAAAAAAGAAATGAACAGAGCCACAGGGACCTGTGACACTAAAACAAAAAAGACCTATTGTTTGCATCATCAGAGTCCTGACAGTGGAGAAGAGGGTAGAGCTGAAAAGGTATTGGAATAAGAGCCGAAAATTTCCCAAATTTGCCAAAAGACAAAAACTACGGAATCAAGAATCTGAGAGTATTCTAAATAGAATAAATCTAAAGATTCATGCTGAAACACATCACTGCAAAACTTATGAAAAGTAAAAACAGAGTGAATCATGAAAGCAGCAGGAAACAAACACCTTATCTATAGGGAGAAAAACAATTTTAATAACAGAGGATTTCTCATTAGAAATCCTGGAAGCCAGAAAGAACCGGCACTGCATTTTTTCATCTGTAGAAAGAACTGTCAACTCAGAATTCTATATCCAGCAAAAATATCCTTCAGGAACAGAGAGAAAATGAAGATTCTCAGATTAAATAAACTAAAAGATTTTGTCACCAGCAGACCTATCTTAAAAGAATGAATTTAGAAGTTTTCTAAAGAGAAAGGAGATGATAAAAGAAGAAATCTTAGGACAACAAGAAGGAAGAAAAAAATATGGTAGAGCAAAATTATGGGTAAATGCAATAGACAAATGGAGAGGTCTTAGCTAAAGGGTATGGAGTTTCTCTTTGAGGTGGTTAAACATATGTAAAATTGACTGTGGTGATGGTTGCAAATTATCTGTGAATATACCAAAAATCATTATGCACTTTAATGCATGAATTGTGTGGTATGTAAATTATATCTCAAAAAATCTGTTTTTAAAAATCAAAATAGTGGTAGCCTGAGGAAAGGGGCACATGAGAACTTTCCGGTCATGATCGGGAAGTTTAATATCTTAGTCTAGGTGATGGTAATGTGGGTGTACGTATAGATTAGTCAGAATTAATCGAGCTAAACCCTTACAATCTGTTCACTTAATCTTATGACAATTATATCCCAATAAAGTATATTAGCATAAAATTATTAGGAAATCTCAAATTCCTTTCCAAAATACTTTTACCAATTTATACTCGTATCAATATTATATTAGAATTCAGGCAGTCCACATCTTACCAATCGTAATATTGACAATCTGACAGGATAAATATGGGACCTCATGGTCAATCCCTCATTGTTAATGAGATTAGTCATGTTTTCCATTGTTTTTTGGATATTCATATTTCAAAACAAAAGAATTTCCATACCATTTACCCAATGTTCTGCTGGCTTGTTTGACATTTTCTAATCTGTTAGTCATAATTTGTTTCAAATACCTTCTCTTAAAATGAATCTTTTTTTGTTTTGGTGCATTTCAATACTCGAGAAATTTAATGATACACCCAAATATTTAATTATGCAGTTTGTATGTGTTTCTTTTAAAGGGAATAATTCTGACTCGAACGATTAAGTTTGTTCCCTATATTGTCTTCAGTACTCCTAGAAGTGTGTTATGACAATCTTATCTCATCTTCTTTATTTTATTTATAAAGCTGATTTATTTTGTTTGCACCAATCTCTTGATTATTTTTGTTTCATTAATCATTTTTTCTATTTCTATGCCATTTATATACTATCTTACTATTTATAGTTTAATAATAAATCTTGATGTATAAAAGAGCAAAAATGAAACAAACCCATTTATTTATATTACTAGTAAAATATAAGTAAAATCACGGTGTTTCTTAAAGAAAAGGTTTTTATCTTCGAGTTCATCAGATGCTTTTTTATTGTGTTAAATTAGTCACAAGCAAGTTAAAGACATGAATCTTTTTATTCTCCAAATTAATGTCTTAAGGGTGGAAATTATTTATCTTCCCTTAACATACTCTCTTCCATTTTCCTTCCCATTCGACTAAATAGTAATGACTACAGAAGTCTATCGCTGGTGCCCCAAATTCCGTCTCACTTTCAGTTTTGCAGATTGGTGTTTTTTAATTGATTCCATAATTGCAAACATGAAGTTAGAGGGCTGTAGGACACCCATGAATTCATTGTCTTTTACTTTATTTTGAGAAGTCTCTGGTGTCTATCTAAGAATGGTCATCTTTTTTGACTCTCTAGCCATTAATTGGGTACCAGGTTGTTGGTGGCATGAGACCTGAAGAATTCCAGGCCAGACTTAAACAGGAGCGAGTGCTTCCTTTGTCTAAACACATTCATAGCTGAGTATCTTTGAATGGGGGAGTTATTTCCAATTATCTATTAATGATTTGTACTTATCTAATGCTTTTTGTAGTTTTTGTTCTCTAGCTGTTTGGAAGTAAACTGTGGAAACTATGAATACAGCATAAGTTTAAGAAACGATCACGTAAAAAGTCAAATCCAGATAATTAAGACTTACCTCGATTTCTTTTCTTAATTTTTCATGTATCTTTTTTTCTTTCTCAAGAAAACAAGTTTTTTCAATGATAGATTCTTTTACAGTTATAATTTTATTCTTTAGCATTGTAATATCATCCTGTATGTTTATAAAATTTAAAATATACAAGTCAAACAATTAATGGTCAGTATAAATCCTAGATTTTCAGTGTTTCTATAACTTCAGAAAACTAGCCATCATATTTAATTTTGATAAACAGGATTTGAATATTACTTCTATGGTACAAATAATAAAAAAACAATTATCCAAACAAACAAAGAAACCTTAGATTTGAAAATGGAAAACTAAAATTCAAATGAAAATAAGACATAAAGGATAGTGGTAGTTTAAATGGCAATTCCAGAACAACAGTGTAAAGGATACTTTTTAATTCTCTAGCAAAATGATATTTTAAGTTTGTATCTCTCACTGTCTTCAGAGAATAGTAAAAGAAATAGAAAGATGCTTAATTCATATTCTTTACATAGCAGCATTAAGCGTACTAAATCGACATAGATTAGCTTAGAAGGTAGAGTTTCAACGTTTTTGAGTCACACTTTCTGTAACAAATGGATTAATTGTTCACTGTGATTTTGTGTGACTATGTATTTTTCTTAATCCATGGGAGATCTGGGGATGTTTTCTTTATGCATTTGCACGTTTGGCATAGTTGTTACATAACTCATGTACTTATCCCAGATTTTTAAAGTTGTGATAATAGTTTCTGAATCTAGTTAGAGCAGCAGTGGGTATTTAATTAAGTTTATGATAAATTTATCACTTATAAAAGTGTACTTGAAAGAAAAAAAAAAAAAAAGAAGAAAAAGTTTCAATAAGTGCTATATCAAACCTGTACTTGCTTCATCCGATTTCCTTCTGGATTTTGGAGATCCTGCCTAAGTTCCTCTTTCATTGTCTTCAGTTTTTTAACAAGATCTCGTTTTTCGTGGAGTTCAATCATAAAAGAATGTTTGCGTTCTTCCTCCCCCAAACTATCTTTATGTGCTTTTATTTTTGCATAGTATTCATTATATCTTATCATGTGTTCCTCGAATTCTTCTTGGGCTGCTTCTATGTCAAATTTAAGCTTTACATTTTCTGTATGTAAGGCTTTGATTTGTGTTTCCAGGTTTTCACACTGAAGTTTGCTATTCTCCATGGCAGCATCTTGCTGATGAATCTGCCTTTCTGTTTCTTTAGTTTCTGCAGAGACAGATGCTATCTGTTTTTCCAGCTCATGAAGTTCATTCTGTAAAATATTTCAACATTATTAATTCAACACGATATTCACATGAGAGGAAAGTTATTTTTTGACCCATAGTGCATGTAGGCAAATCACAACATAAAAAATATATATTTATCAGATATAGAAAAATTGATGTACAATAGAAGGAAACATGCAATAACATAAGATTATGGTATAATCTCAATGGGAACCCAGAGTTATATATTTCTTATTATTTATTGTTCATCTAATTCTAAATATTAAAATTTTGTCATTTATTTTAACATTTTATGTGTAAAAGATACTTTACAATCATCTTACTAATATATTTATGGGCATCAGAAGTACACACTGAAGAAAGGCAGTATGATATACATGACAAAGACTTGAGTTAAAAAAATCAAAAGACATAGATTTTGTGCCCTTAGTTCTATTGACTAGTTGGTATGACCACAGACAACTTAATTACCCTATCCGATCTCAGTTTCCTCCTTTGTAAAATGAGTATAAAGATGTCTACCTTACCTCTTGGGCATTTGGCAGTTCCACCAAGTACCACGTTTTTAAAACTTCGTTTTCACACCGGTTCTCCCAGATATCTCTGAGCATTCCTTCTCAATCACAATGGTTCCTTCAAATGCAGGTCTTCCTCAGGTGCAGTCACCGTAACTTCCTCCCCTCACTCTATACATACTCCTTGGGTAATCTTATCCATACATACATCTCGAGCTATATATATGCTGATGAGTCACAGAATAAAAGTGGCTGTTGAGTCCTACACCCAGCTGCCACTAGCCATATCAAACTGATCCATGTCCAAAGCAGCCTAATCCTCCCCGCATCCCACCCTGTTCTTCCTTGTTCTTCAATTATGTATTGTCAGAACCACAAAACCTTAGTGACGTACAGAAATAAGTGTTTATTGCTCACATGACTGAGAGCAGCTGAAGTGGGCTAGATGCTGACCTTGGTTAAATCTGCTCAAATGTCTGGGGTTTGGCTGGCTGTAAGCTGGCTGTAAGATGATTTAGTTTGGCCAACTAGGCCAGCTGGGGTGTTTTGGCTTTGCTTCACATGTACCTCAACCTCCAATGGGCCAGGCCAGGTGTGTCCTTCTCATAAAGATAGCAGATGCAGAAGAATGGAAGCCCAATTACTGAAGACCTTTTTCAAGCTTCTGTTCGAATAACATCTGTTAACATCCCAGCTGGTCACATGATGAAACTCACAGTCAGGGGCTAGATGTATGCCCACCCATTGTGGGAGGGCATCGTAATGATACATGTCTGAGTATATACACAAGGATGAAGAATTGGGACTGAAATGCAAATTACTACACCCCTATTTTCACAAACTAATTAACTGATGGTACTATTTTGGAAGCACCCTTATTTCCTCCATTCTCTGTACTGCCTGTATCTAACTGCCACCAAGTCAACTCTGCAGGCCATCCTCCATCTTTTTTTTCTGTGTAGTACGATTATTCTCCTTGGCAAACTTATAATTTTGGGAAAGATGGACTATGCTAAACAAGCAGACCCAGTCTATCCTTTTCCTGGCAGAGACAGAAGAGGGAAGTACACTGAAAAACACAATATGCTGATGAATCTCAATCTTCATCTCCAGTTCTGATATTTCAAATGCCCACTCGATATTTCTGTTCGTGTATCAACTACATGTTTAGAAAAGAACATTTCACTTACACGCTCACCATGTTCCTCCCCCAGTCTTCCTGAACTCAATAAGCCGTACTTCTTTCCATCTGAGTATTCGAGAACTTAGAAGTCATTCTTCATTCCTCCCTTTACCTCACCTCCAACAAACGACCAGCGAATCTTGATGGTCGGACCTCCAAAATAAAATCCCAAATTCACTTCCGGCCAATTTTTGTAGCATTCTAGTTTCTAATCAGTCTCCCTGTTTCATTTCTTCCCCCTGTACTTCAACTAGGCTCCCTGTATTGAGCTGAAGAATCCTTTAAAAATATAAATCATATCATGTTACTTCCCTGCCCAAGTTCCCGCAGTGGTTTCTCATTGTACTAATAAAATTCAAATTTCTACTGTGGCTTACACAAGGCCGCACATGTTCTAGTCTCTATCCACTGTTCCATCTCTCTCATACACTATTCTCTCCAGCTTCCAGCCTCCTGTTTATTAAACATGCCTGGTTCCCTCCCACCTAAGGGCACTCGTAATTGCTCTACTTTAGAATTCTCAGCCCCTAGTTATTACCTGTTATTGTCTTTGTCATTCACAGCTCGGCTTTATAATTAATCCTCTGAACTGTCTTCCCTGGATCAAAATATAAATTAACCACCCACTCTCCTCCCCCAGTAACTCTCAACACATTATCCTATTGTATTTCTTCTTTAACACATCGATCAAGGGAATATTCTTCATTTTCTTTATCTCCTCATTGCTCGCCTCCTCTGACTAGAAGGTAAGCACCACGAGTGCAGTAACCTTGTCTGTCTTCTTTACCACCATTTTCTCAGGGCTTAAAATAGTGCCTGGCACAAAGGAGTGCTCAAAAAATATTAAATGAGTGACTAATGATGCACATGGAATGGGATACATGCCCTGCCAACTGGACTAGGCTGTTGACCCTACTGATCAATACGGGAAGAGATGACATTTGTAGTTAGTGATTTGGTTGTCTTAATAGACTGTTAACTTTCCTTTCTGGTTTGAGTCGATTCCTCCTCCAGTCTACTTAAGCTCTTTCACCAGAATTAGATTTCGTCACTGTTGATGTCCCTTTCTCCTCCTCCCCCTCTCCCTTCCTCTCCTTTTTCCGTCAGCTCCTTCCTTCTTCCTCCTCCTTTTCCTCTTCCTCCTCTTTGCCCTCTTCTCCTTTTTGTTTGTTTATAGATTTGCGGCATACTTGATGTAAATAAACTGTACATATTTAAACTTTACAGTTTGATACACTTTTATGCTCATAAGACCATTGCAAGTAACATAATAAGCATATCCATTTCCCATAGAAGTTTCCTCCTGCTGCTTTTTAATTCACCCTTCCCTCCTCGTCTGTTTCCAGGCAACAATTCATCTGCTTTGTGTCATTTTCAGGAATTTTACATAAGCAGAATTATACAAACTATACTTTTTAAGTCTCCTTTCATTCAGCATACTTGAGATTCATCCACATAGTTGCATACATAGCAACAGCTCTTCCTTTTTATTGCTAAGTACTATTCCTTGTGTGGATCTATCATCCTTCGTTTATCCATTCATCTGATGGGCATTTGGGTTGTTTCCAGTTTTCTAATGGGCATACACTTATTTTTCTTGGATAAACAAGTATCTAAATAATGGAACAGTTGGGTTATATGGTAGATATATTTTAACCTTTTAAAAATCTGTAAACTGTTTCCCAAGTGGTTACACCATTTCACACTCCAAGTAACAGGGTCTGAAAGTTCCAGTTCTTCCATATCTGTACCAGTGTTTGGTATGGTCCATCTTTTTAAATTTAGCCAATCTAGTGGCTATTGAACCTATCTTATTATCATTTCACAATTTGCATTTCCTTAATGATTAACAATATTGAATATCTTTTCACATGCTTGTCTTTTTAATATCTTCTTTCATGAAATGACTGTTCAAACCTTTTTTCCACTTTTAAATTGTTTGCCTTCTTGAATGACAAAAATTCTTTACATAGTGTAAATACAAATACACTGTCAGATGTATCTTTAAATATTTTCTATGATAACCCAAATGCCCAGTGGGCCCTAGCAAGTATACCTAATTTTCATAACAGTGTCTTTTAATCAGAACTTAAAAAAAAAATATTTAATGAAGTCCAATTAAAAAAAAATGTGTTCTATTTAAAATATCATTGCCAAACCCCACAAAACCACTAGACTTTTCTCTTATGTTTTCTTCTAGGCAGCTTTAATTCTTACATTTAGGCCCATAATCCATTTGGCATGAATTTTTGCATGTAATACGAAGTGAAAGTTGAGGTTTACTTTTTATACATGTGGCTGTCCTCCACCATTTGTTGAAAGACTACCCTTTCTCTAATGAACAGTCTTGGCACCTTGTCTTAGCTCGAACTGCTATCACAAAACACCATAGACTGGGTGCTTAAACAACAGATATTCATTTCTCACAGGTCTAGAGGCTGTGAAGTCCAAGATCAAGGTGCAGTGGATTCGGTTCCTAGTGAGAGCCCTGTTCCTGTCTTACAGACAGCCGCCTTCTCGCAATGTCCTCATATGGCAGAGAGAGAGAGGGAAGGGGAGGGGAGTGGAGGAAGAGCACATGCCTGCCCTTGGGTCTCCTTCTCTCCTTATAATCCCATCATACAGGTCCCACCCTTGTAACCTCATCTAGACCCAATTAACTCCTAAAAACCCCACCTCCAGACACCACGGGGGACACAAACGTTCAGTCCATACCAGCATCTTTTTGAAATCCACTGATATGTGGGGGGCTATTTCGGGACACTCTGCTCTGTTCCATGGATGTGTATATCTATCTGTACGCTGTGACACACTGTCCTGATTACCGTACTCTATGATAATCTTAAAATCAGGTAAGGTAATAACTTCTAACACTGTTCTTCTTCAAAGTTGTTTTGGTTTCTCTAGGTCCTTTGGATTTCCATTTGACTTTGAGAATCGGCCTATCAATTTCTTCAAAAATAATGCCTGCTGGATTTTGAGCAGAACTGCTTTTAAACTATAGATAAAATGGAAAGAACAATGACAGCGAATCTTCTGATTCATTTAAATGGTATATCTCTGTATTTATTTTAGTCTTTAATTTCTCTCAGAAATGTTGTGCAGTTTACGAATTGTCTTAGTCTGCTCGGGCTGCCATAACAAAATGCCATAGACTTCGTGGCTTAAACAACAGAAATTTATTTCTCATGGTTCTGGAGGCTGGAACGGGCCTCGGCCTGGTCCAGTGCTAGTGAGAACTCTTCCTGGCCTGCAGAGGGCCACCTTCACGCTGGTTCTCACAGGGCAGAGAGTGGAGGGAGAGCAAGCACCCCAGCCCTTTCTTACAAGGGAAGGAATCCTATCAGGAGGCCCCACCCTCATGACCTCATCTGACCCTAATTACCTCCCAAAGGCCCCACCTCTAAATACTGTTACGGGGGCGGGGGTGGGGGGGGGTTGCCGCCCATAAACATTCAGTACATAACACAAACCTTTCGTCAAATTTACCCCTAAGTATTTCATAATTTTGATGCTACTGTAAATGATACTCCTTTTTAAATCTTAATTTCTGATTGTTTCTTTCAATATATAGAAACATAATTGATTTTTATAATTACGTTTATAGCTTATAATCTTTCTAAACTCACTTATTATTCCTGATAGCTTTTTAAAAAAATAGATTCCCAGGATTTTTAAAAGATAATCATGTCATCTGTGAATAAAACAGGTTTCACTTCTTCCTTTCCAATGTGGATGCTTTTTAAAAATTTTTCTTGCATGACTGCGGTGGCTTAAATGAATACAAGCTGTAAGAGCACACGTCTTTGCCTTATACCTGATCTCGAGAGTAAAACATTCACTCTTTCACCATTAGGTATAAAGTTAGCTGTAGGATTTAGGTAGATGCCCTTTTTTAGACTGAGAAACTTCGATTCCTACTTTTCTGAGAGGTTTTAGCATGAATGGATGTTGGATTATGACAATTGTTTTTTATACCACTAGAATTCCCTCCTACACATAAATTTAATAATTTGCTTCCTTCCTTAAAGCCCATCAAAACCTCATCACCTTTAAAATAAAGTCCAAGTTTCATACCATTCTATACAGCTCTCAGTTCTCAAAACTTACTCTACTATACCACCACAAACCACGTAGAGTTCTGTGAATATACCAACGTGATTTCAGGCTCTTGTGAATTTTCTCAGGTTCTTTTTGTCTGGAATACTGTCCTCCTCACCCCTTAACCCTTACACCTGTCCCAGGTACCCGATCATTCAGGTGTATTCTAACTGTCCCTTCAAAGTCAACTGAAACATCACTTTCTTTGAGATCGCTCCTCCTTTGGTGTTAACCTTGTGTTCATGCCTTTACTGCTGACACTACTGCTCTGCATGTAATTATTTACTTACTTCACTGTCCCCTCCTTCCTAGATGGCGAGAAACTTAAGAATGAGCAAAATGCCTCCATATAAGTGAAATAACATCTGTGAAAGTCTTTGAAGACTGAGAAGTGTTACAGAAAATTTCTTTGGAGAAATCTAAGACATTACTATTTTTGCCTTATATTCTATTGTAAACATGTAATCTTTCTAACAGTGACTAATGCTATGCAAATATTTATAAGAAATCCATATTACCATGATAGTATAATTATTATCATCATATCTCTGCTGATGCATTAATACCTAAAGCCAATATCAATATCTCATCCTAGCAAGGATGCCTTACATAATATTTACAAGTATGATTAATTCACTTCATCATCATGAAAATCTTATAGGCAGGTTCTATTGCTATCTCCGTTTTACAAATGGGAAAACAGAAGCACGAAATTAAACCAAAGAGCTGAAAGTACCAAATCTTGTCTCTCAAACTAGGCAGTTTAGTTCTAAAAGCTATTCTTTTCATTTCCATGATATATTTAATAATAATAAAAAAGCTTTACAGAGCACATAGTAAAGATACTATTTCCATTTTGTTTCTTTAGCTATATTAACGGAGTATAGTTACATCTAATTATGCTGTATACAAAAACCAAGTACGGCTTCCAGATTCTCTGTAATGGAATTATAAATATATTATGAAGTACAAAGAAGAGAGAAGTGTTCCTTATTTACTTTAAATATTCACTAGAAACTCATAACTCACAAGTGATAATTTTCAAAACACCGGCTTATAAACTTAACCTTCCTTCACTTCAGTATTTTAGGAAAAACTATCAAATAAAAGTTAATTTAAAACAATTCTAAGTGACACGCTAGGTTATATGCTTATACCACGGCTGCAATGACATTTTGAATCTTTGTATATTGAGTGCATAAAATGTTCTGCAGACTGGAATACTCATAGATTTCACTTAGGGATAATAGAATAATTAAAAAAGAGGTAAATATAAAAAAATATGAGTTTAAAATTGCCTCCCAAAATTAAGTGTCCTTAATAACTTCCCTGTTATTAATTTAATATAGTTTGGAGGAAAATCTAGACTTGTTTAGAAGACAGTACAAAACAGGTTACCTGCAAATGAAACAGAATCTTTTTGTGTCTTTCTATTTCTGATGTCTGCAATTGTTGTTGCTTTGCAACTTGCTCGACAGCATCGGTTAATGAAGATATGTCTTGTTGAGCCAGAGCTAGACAAAAAAAATAACGTACATTAAAAAATTTAAATGCAAACATTCTAAAAAAGTTATGTTTCTTTACTCAAAGTCATAAAAAATGTGATGCTTCTTCATAAATAAACTAAATTCAGAGTTGGTAATCTTCCCTTTCTGACTATAAACAAAACCAAAATAAAAGGCCATAATAACACATGATTCAAAATCGCCTACTGCAATGTTATACCTGTTTCCTTTAGGGAACAGTATAAATATTTTGATTGTCCCAGTTGTTTTTACCCAGACCACTTGCGCATATACTATAATTATATTGCCACTATAACAACTACATAGCAATTACAGTTGATGAATTTTCATTATAGGCCTGCATTTTCAGGTTGTTATGCCTTTTCTAAACACTGAATAAGTTTCTTCCTGGAGAAGTTTAACAGCTTCGCTATATTCCAATTTGTTATAAAATTTAACACAATTATCTTATCACATGTACTTTTTTGTTGCTGCCTATCTTTTCATTATTTATTTCCTACGACTGCTTTATTACCTTCTCCAAGAACTCCTCGACACCCCCTTTCTTCATTGCCTGGCATACTTCTGTGTCTCTTGTCTCCTTTTTGGTTCACCTTCTTTACTCCTACAGAATAATCAATGTTGATAATCTTTCACTTTTCTTTTTTTCTCTTTTCATATATCCTGCTGAGCCTGCAAGTAAATTAGTGGCCAAATACAGGGATGGCAATGACATTTCATCCTTAGTTCCAAGAATTAAAATACAGTGGTTAAGAATGATTCAGGAAGGAAGGCAGAACTGTATTTGAATTTGGTTCTCCATCTTTTCAGCTGTTAATAATCTTGAGCAACTTTCTTAACTTCTTTGATCGTCAGTGTCTTCGTCAGTAAAATCTCACAGGGCTGTTGTAATAATTAAAGTAACATGTAACATGCTGGGCACAGTATCTAACATACGTATATACATACATACATACATACATACATAACGACTAATTAATTACTATGGATTAATAGCTGGTACCGTCGATACTGTGATGAAATGAATTCTAAAACAATAGCCAGAATCAAGGAGAAACAGTGCCAAGTTAGATCAGCAATTTCTGTATAGAGTGTAGAAAATAAAGCACTCCTGTCCAGTTCTATTCTGGGCAGGGTAAGCCCTAAGCAGGTTTAAAACTGCATTTCAATCTCTTCTGTATGTAGGAGTAACTGATAAGATGAAGGGGTAGATATTTTTCTCCTTTGGAAGATGGAAAGAGTTCCTTCCTTTACCAACACAGCAAATGAAAGCTGAGTTGGCAGAGTCAGACATTACCAGTTTTCAGGAAAAGGGCATCTGGATTTGTCTGTCCATTCCTACACCAAGGAGTTCATTCGAGTTTGCATGATTATTAAAAGAAATGTAATGTTGTTAAATACTTCTGGAATTGTCATCTCCCATTTAACATTTGAACATATGGATTTTTTCCTATTTCGATGACATCCTTTTAAAAAAAATCTTCGCGATGATTTTTATAGAACCTGTGAATCTTTCCAATCATAAAAAGTCATGATAAAGTTTGCAAGCCAAAAGCAGTGAAATATTACCATAACAGGAAGGCATGTGTAAAGAAGTTTCTATAAGGAAATGTGCAAAACCACTAAATATCTTTCCTAAAGATTGGTTAAATACAAAGCACTTGTATAATAATTACATATGTTTTCAAAACCAAAAATTTAAAGGATTGAAACCTGATATATAAGGAAAAAGAAAGAACAAAGTTAAATTGCTTCCTGAATCAGGAGACTGAAATCTTTCCAGAAATATCTTACCAAGCTAAATCCGGAGAGCTTTACTCAGCAGAGGGTCAGAATCACCCGCTTTATGACTCTTTCCTGTTTTTTCTTTCCTTTTCCTTCCCCCGATCTCACTTCGAACTTGCCTCTTTTGCGATGCCTTCCCTGATGCTGACTGGGCCATTCACTCTGTTCACGCTATTTATCTATGTCCTTTCTGCTTCACATACAGACTACCCTGGATTAATACTAATAAATCCACATCTGATTTTCTCTCTAACTCTGTTGAATGTGTTTCATGATCACAGACTTTCTCCCTAATTCTGCCTACCTATATTTATATTTATA